CGCTTTTCATTTTCAATCTCATAAATTGGTTATAACGACTTTTGCTAAAATTTCAAAATCAAAAGTTATCAAAACAAATTCTATGGGACTGAGAAATATATTTTCTACTTTTTAGTCCATTTATAAAAGCGTTGTATATTAAAAAGTTTTTTTTTTATATTATTTATTCTGGTACAAACATCGGACTAAAGTAATATAAACACCATATCGTGTTCAGGATAGGAATCGTGACGTGCACCGCAGTTGAGTGTCTACTCCTCTGTAGGCTCCAGGTGATACACTTTTTTCTTATACCAGTCACCGGTGCAGTAAGAAATGTTTTGTCAGCCCATTAAATTCTAGTAAAAAAATGCAAGTTCGGAGTTAGTCAAAAATGGCGTTGATTTTTGAGACTTTTTTCTTGAAGGTGTTTGCATTTTTTCCATATAAAGTATTTTCAAAAAAAAAATTTTGTATGGAAGAGACTGCATGAAAAAAATACCAAAAATCAACGGTAATTCCTAGCTACTCAAGGCTTGCGGTTTGTTATAATAAAATTGATTGGGCTGCATACTCAAAAAAAATCTAAAAAATCCGAAAGTTGAAAATTTTTATGAAAATTTGCTGAATTTTCGCGAGTTTTGCACAAAGCTTAGGATATATATTTTTATGGTTTTTGTTGTACAATGAACTATGTTTTTATATGAAATTAGCGGAAAAATATTAGAATGAAAATTGTTGCATATATTGTGAAATATTTGCTGTGCCAATACTTTGTTTCGGCAGTGTACATATCGAGACCTAACCGCCAAAATAACGCAAGCGACATTTTTTTTTCAAAATTTTCTTTTTGATGCAGAAATGTATCTAGATGCTCTAGGAATATTTCTGCATTAAAAAGAAAATTTTGAAAAAAAATGTCGCTTACGTTATTTTGGCGGTTAGGGCTCGATATGTATGTACTTTTGTCTGTGTTTTTATTTACTTCCTGCAGCGCTCTCATAGGAGTTGTCAAAATATTGAATAAATTCTCGAAGCACTAATATACATACATATATACATACATAGAGGCACAACTCAAAATTTGCCATTTTTGAAATTTTGTGCTAAAAATGTACACACAGCTTTTCTTAACCTTTCAGCAAAATCTGGAACAAATTTTTTATGATTTGTTTAAAAAAAACCTTAGGTAAAATCTCACTTGCCCATATGACTATCATATGCTAGGAAATAGTTTTTCGCATTTTCTCACAAAAGTGTAATTTTGAGTTGTGCCCCTTTTGAAGGCGGGTACATATATTCACAGATAAGCCCGTGACTCAATTATCCTTGGAAAACTTTAAAAATTTCAAGTCACGTATCGAAAACTCAACAAGCTGTAACGAAAACTTCATCCTGTTTAGTGTAATACAGTAGCCAAACAATACTTATAAAGTTTCTTTACTTTAGTTGTTGCTTTTCTTTTGTTAGCCCATAAGTTGACAAAAGCTTCTTTAGGGCAAACATAAACGCATATCTACACAGCTTCTTAATTTACCTAAACAAGTCTTAATAAATACAAGAATACACATTTTCTTTTTTCATGGCAACGTAAGCTTTAAACATTTTATACGCACGAAGGGGATGTGTTGACTACATTTTTCACTTTTTAACCGACTTCCAAAAAAGGAGGAGGTTATCAGTTCGTCGGAATATTTTTTTTTTTTTTTTTATGTATGTTACCGCATAACTTTGGACCACGTCAACCGATTTCGATAATTCTTTTTGCATCGGAAAGGTAGTCCCATACTAATCTGGTTAAGATCCGATCAGTGGATCATGAGATATATATATATATTTTTTTTTATATGAGAGTTGAAGTCGGTTTTTTTTTGCCAAAAATTACTTGTTCTAAAGAAACTCAAAAACGTTTTGTAATAATCTTGTCGTATTATATTCGCCGGTAGTTGTTAGTTAATATAAGGAAGCGAGTTAAAAAATAAATAGGTAGAAGTTTTTTGTAAATAATTGAAACGCTGAATGAGAAGAACTTTACTTTTTCATTTGATAAGAAAGACTAAAGGTGTATATATTAAAGCTTGACTTAATTAAAATTCTAACATCTAAAGTAAGACTAAGAATTCGATAGTTTTTATCTTGAAAGAAAGGATATGTGTTTAACATTTATGGTTCCTTTTTATGTAAGAATGTAAGACACCCTCTTTAGTAACTTATGCAGCATATTTGTTCCATTTAAGCAACATTAATTCGTTTTTCTTTAAAATGCATCCATTTTTCTTCAACTTGGCTTTTACAATCGCCCAAAATGTCTCTATGGGGCGTAGTTGGGGCCAATAAAGCGGATTCATATTTTTTGTATCACATCCACTTTATTATCCAGATACCATTTCATGGTTGCTGGCTAGGTCAAGTCAAAATTTGGTAGATGATCTGTGATGTTAAGTGAAAGGCAGCAACCACTTCTGGTGACACTCTTTAGAGTAAATTTGGGATGTCATTGTGGACGATGATACAAATGTCCTGCTTTCAGGCCGCAACTTAGGTTCACTCGTTCGGCTTTTCCCAGCAGGGTAATATATCTATACGTACATATGTACATATGTATATGTACATAAGTACATCTGTATGTGTATAAATAAACCACTAGAATCTGGCGCACTTCGTCTACATTAACAATTGTGATTAAAAGTATACAAGTGCATACCTACATACATACATACAAATTTATAAATAGACCAAAATACAATACAAAATGTTGCAAGCAGGCGTTAAAGAGCACAAAATTTGCTAGAAAAAACAATTGCGCGAATAGACGAGCTTGCTTAAACTGAAACAAGCAAAACAAAAATGAAAATGAAAAACTTCAGATTGAAAAATTTCACACCTGCTGAGCTTGAATGACTGCACATGAAATGAGTTTTTATTCCAGATTGTTGTTTTTCATATCAGCGGCTGAAAGCAAGCAGTAAGCTTTTCCTTCTACAAAAAAACCAAAACAAACAACAACCTCTTCGCTGTTGCACTTTTCACTTAACTCGCCAGCATTGGCTGTTGGTATCGCATTTTTAAATCCAAGTTTTATTAAAAAAAATACATGTGTACATATTTATGAACATACTATACAAATATATACATACATACATATACGCAATACAACTTGTTTATGCGTTTTTCTAAACTGTTCGAATTCAACTGATTTGTCACTTTTTGCTACGTTCTCTTCCGCAGGATCACAAGTTGAAGCACATGGCTGAGCTGCAGCAATCCGTTGTTACCGACCAGGATACTCGCCACCAAATACAGACACAAATCCTGCAATGGGAGGAGAATTTGGAACGTTTACATTGCGAACAGTTCCGCTTGCGTTGCTACATGGCGTCATTGCAGAGTGGCGAATTGCCAAATCCAAAAGTAAGTTTTTATACAATAAGTTACACAAAATTCCAAACGTTTCGCACATCAATAGCTATGCATATCATTATCATTGCTTATGCATACATACATACACATACAAACGTGTAGTATGTGTATGTATGTATGCATAAGCAATGATAATCGAAAAATTTATGTGAATACATATTAGCATAAAATATTTGCGACGGTGATGGAAATGAGAATGAATAATTTTTTGTGTACATTTACTACTTAATCGCATACCAAAATCAATCTAAAGTATAGCGAATACTCATACCAATTGTTAGATTGCCATTGTAATATCGGTAGTTACTTAAGTTATACTTAGCTCTCACTTACGGAGTAGTCAAATAGCTACTATTACATTGAAATATACATACATTAATAATATGGCTTTAATGTGCCCATGAGCGGATCTACATACGCCTCTTCCTCACGGTAAAACATACAAGGCTGCTTTAATTCTCAAGCCAATGTGTATTTGAGCTAATTATGGTTCAATAAATGGAAAATCCGTTAAAACGTCTGTACATCTTAGCAAACATACTCGTTCAATGACTCTTAGTCAGCAAGAAAAAATAATTAACCCCTCACTTACGACGAGTCGTTCCGACCTCCTATTTTAGCAATTTTGAAGAAACATTAATTTGAGAGGTAAAATCTCGAACAGCATTATTGCCTTAGAGAAATTTTAGTAATGCAGTCAAAATATATGCCAGAGAAATTTATTTTAAGCACTTATAAACCGACCGACAACTGAATAACTCTATAGTGGGTGCAAAAGGATATAGTGGGGTTTCTGGGTAACCAGTTATAGTTGATCGACTATATAAAATGCTCAACCTCGCATCCATGATCGCGCTTTGGGCAACGTGAGCAACCGATGGGAGACGAAGCTTTTTTGGGCTAACATATTCGACTTGAGGGTCCACTGAAGTCGGCTGCATCTTTCCACCAGGAAGTTCAGCTGCAAGCAAGCATATGTCGCTTCAAACAAAACAGCCTTAGAATCTGGTCATGCGCAAGATTTGGAACCCACGACGTAAAAGCAAACTTCCAACGAAAAGGACAACACAACCTTGAGCGATGTAATCTTCTAGCGAAGCTGTTCTTGAATTGTTCATTTTACGTATTCCCTTTACCCATTTGTTATGGCAAGGAATGAGGACGATAAAACGACATAAGCATATTTAGTACTCCGAAATGAGATATACAAAGTAATGGATTCAAATGCTACAGCCCTAAAAAAATCGAAGTCGAAGTCGGAAAAAATATGCCACATATCCGTTGGAAAGACCAGGCGGACAGCGATTCAGCTTCACGGAGTTTCTAACTGATGCCAGTTACGCGGTAGTGGTAAACATATAGTTGGCTAATTTTGTTGAATTCCTTATTCTAGGCCACACAAAGTTCTTATGCCCCCATATATACATACATATGTATGTAAGTTCCAACTTTTTCCTCTTCCGCTCAAAGTTAAAATTAACTTTTTTATGTTCCTGAATAATTTTTTGTAGATATACGAGGATTCTCTAGAGCTTTTAGAGTAACAGGGTCGGGCGTCACCTCCTCTCAATTGTCTATATTTGCATAAACCTCCGATAAAAAATCATTCAAAACAAACATCCCTTGACAAGTCACTCGGGAGGTTTGATATCAGTTATAGACAAAAGGCTTTGAAAGATGTTAGTCTTCTTCTAGTCCACATCAAGTTGAAAATATGAGCTAAACACTATATTTTTTTAATATACATTTAATGTGCATATGTATGAACTAGTGTTGCCATGAACAAATTTTTCTTCCTATCATAACCAAGCAAAACCTACCAAAAATATATTTGACCTAAGAAGATCTATTGTGCTAAACCCTAATTTTTATCACTCCAACCATAGGATTTTTAAGAAGCTAAGCACTTTAGAAGGTACCTTGTTACAAATTTTGGATGAATCAGACAATCGGCCAAGGTGTATCAGTCTGTTATTCATGATACGTGGGCAGTCACATAGACTATGCTCTGGGACTTCCTCCACCAGCCCAAAAAACCTGCTGTATCTACAGAGAGCCCCATTTTATTCAAATGGCACCTTAACTTGCAGTGTCCTTTCCGGCAGCCGGTATGAGTTCTAAGACACTCTAACACGGCTAATCTAAGGAGTGGACAGCAATCTGAGATTCCTCGCAGCCTCCAAGTAGTTCTGCAGTGTATCCTTTAGATGCAGCTCGGAAAATCTCGGGATCATGCATGCGCATTTGGGCTCCACGCTTTTCGAGACAGTTGTTAAATTCAAAACCTTCAAAGCCCGGAAGCGATCTCAGCGGTACGCTTTTGTGTCGAGAGCTTTACAGCTGTCGACAAGCCTTGGTTCCGTTTTAACGCTGCCTGACTGTTCGAAATATTGCTTATTCTGGCACCATTTATCCTTCTAGGAAAGCATTCTCGAATACATACATATATCGATTTCGAAGACTTTCTCCTGGAATATGGTTGGGTATGTGGCCATTGGCAGACTTTTCTGTAATCTTGGTCCAAGCACGCCTGCCTCAGTACTCCCGTCGTCCATATTTGATCCATCGGTATACCTTACTTGGAACCCTTTGTCAATCATAGTATTGCCGCTTCCCAGCAGTCCCTTTCAGAAAGTCTGACCTTGTAGGGATGGTAGAAGGATAACTTCGGTAGCATGATGTCCGTGAGCTTGATAGCGGGATCATCCAGGAATGGATTGAGAACCTGCAAATGACCCCGAGGATCTAAATTTTCCATGCCGATGATATTGGGCAGCCGTAGGGCGCTTCAGGCGGCCTCTTTTTCAATTAGAATAGACAAAGGAGTTATGCCTTTTATGACACCAAGGGCATCAGTTGGACAGCTGTGCATAGCCCCTGTGATGGACACGCAGACCAGTCGGTGCTCCTTGCTCAAGATGGCACCCGCGTTTACTTGCTTAGCTCTTGGTCACGAGGCTACCAAGATGTGAGTTCCAATTGGGCCTTTGTCCAAATTTTGGGAACTTCTTTCGGTACAATGGTGGACTTCAGTGGGTTTATTGACGAACTCTCTCCAGAACACCAGTCTTCAGTACTGCTAAAATATTTACATGTTCAGATCTTAAATTTTTCGCAAATAACTATTATTGTCGCGGAGCCCAACAAAATCCAATCTAGCCGATCAACCTACCAAATGGAAAGAAACCTACCAGTTTTGATAGGAAGAGCCTAAATGCTCATGTTAGCCTAGTTTGGCTGACATGCTTTTCTCCTTTATAATGGTAAAGTCCTAATAAATCTTTACTTTCGTGTTGCACGTTGCCAGAACTTGTCGGCTTTTAAGACGAACGTATGATAAATATTTTTTATAAAAGCAGCAATATGCTGCGCTTTCTAAGTAGACATTTGCACACTAGTGAGATATGATTATCCATAATAACGTTTGAAGTGAGTAACTGCTTTCGGAGAATGGCTAAAAGAAAAGAATCACGCAAACGCAAAGGTGAAAAGCAATAAAATATTCACGTAAAAGCGTGAACATAAGGCGACAAACGCATATGTGGCAGACGTATGCATATCTACACATTTGCAAATATGTTTGTGTGTATGTGCTCACAAGCATTCACGAATATCCCTGCAAAAAATTGTGCAACGAACCTCGAAAGAGGGTACTCCGACATTACTCTCAATCTAGTACAATTGATAATTAGTTAGTCGCAACTCGACTAGTCCCTTACGGTAATAATCGTAAATTAATCCGTACTCGAATCATCCCTAACGGGATTTTATTTCATGGGCGTTGTGGTAGTGCACTTCCCTCAAGTGGCACTTTGAAACCAAGATAAGCCTGTTGTTTTCGTCGAGTTCCGCTCCCCTCGGGTCTGGCGCCAAGCACAACTTCGTGTGGGGAATGGGAGAAAGGCGCTTAGTCGCAATGAATGGTGTTTCTCCCTTCTCGAAAACCAAACTGTCTATCAGATATACCTTATTTCTCTTGGATTTCGTTTTCGAGACGGTTTCCTATCACATGCTCAAGGACTTTTCCCACCTAGTCGAGCAGGCACATGGGCCTGTAACTGGAAGGTTCCGTTAGAGGTTTACCGGGTTTAGGCAGCAATACCAGCATTTGCCTCTTCCAAACTGATGGGAATGTTCCCTCGGCTAGACGCGTGTTAAATAAATCCGTAAACGACAATACTAGCCGATGTGATAGCCAGTTTCAAAGCTAAATTAGGTACACTGTCTAGACCGGGAGACTTTATATCCTCGAGTCCTTTTCAGGCTTGGAGAACTTTGTCGTTGGTGATCTTATCAAATGAGTTTAAGAGCTCCCTTGAAGTAGGGGAAACCAGTCTCATCTCTAACGGGTACAATCAACGATTTGTAGAGTATTCGCTTAGCAAACCTGAGATCCTCGGCTCGAATCGCAGCTGGCGCACGTTTTTATTATTATTTTTAGTCCTTTTATATAGCCGTTCGGGTATAAAGGGGAAAAATTATTGTGTTCTTAGGACATGCTCGAACAAAAGCGAACAATTCATTCCATAAAAATATATCAAAATTAGTATTGGTCTCAGGTTCCTTTGCGACTGGTCCCGGAGACATTCTGGATAAGTCACACTTTTTGCGAGAATTTGTGCACGTGTTTTGCGTATTTGTGGCTGTTAAAATACATAACTGTAAATATATACATATATTTGTATAGCTTAACATATCAGCAAACATCAACAGCTGCAATCTTTCATTCAGCTATTCAACCGCCATTCAAACCAACTAATGCAGCTGCCATATCTCTCTGCCGCTCGCTCGCTTGTTCCACTACTCCCTTCATTGCCTTCTGCTATTTTGAAAAATATTTTCACACATTTATAATGCTAAAGAGGAGTCTGAAGTAAGACAGACAAACAGTTAGTCAAGAGTCAAAACTCCATGCGCTCAACTTTGCACTCAACTCCACTAAGCTATTCATGGCTTATGTAAAGGCATTTGTGGTCTAGTGTGGCAACGATTGCCTTTTTATATTGCACGTTCATTTCGCATACCTATGTATATACGTGCTTGTATGTTAACGTGTGCGTGTGAGGATAACAAGTAGGATAAACGGCACAATAATAAAAGAAACACATGCGGAGCAGCACTGTAACAGCAACAATATGCAGCCAAATGACAGTCATGAAGGCGGCATGATTTATTATTAACAGGCAAGCAAATAACCACCCACACACAGACGCACACACACCTAGTAACTTGCATACAATTAGGCAAACAGACAGACGACAGACAGCAATGCAGGAAAGTGGAGTCGTAAGAGTGTAGCGCAAGCCGATTATGCTGCTGGCAAAGAAAGCTACTTATACTCCACCCATCGCATGGTGTCGCCGAACTGCTTCTGTTTGGTTGCATGAAGTGCTTTCCCGCAGGATATTTGCCTTACACTTAGTTTTTAAGTTGATGTGTGTTAGGGGGAGATCGGGGGTGTATTATGAATTCATATGCTATGCAAATTTGTATATAAATAAGTACGTATCTACGAAATCAGTTTGCTTCAAAGTCAGTACACTACATACAGACATATGCAAGCGCAGAACTGCATGCTAATTCATGCTACCATAGGAAAAAATTTATTTTAAAAGCAAATGCTTTATATTCAGTTTCATATGCGTACATGCACTTTTGCAAGGCTTCAATTTTTGTCCCTCGTCTACCACTATAAAAGTGCTCGACAACAATTTATTACAATATCTCACAAGATTCTAAGTGATTGACAAGTGAATAATTAATAGGCAGTTATCACCAATACTATTTTTATATATAAATATGTTGTTCACATAACGGTTGTTTGTAACAGCCAAAACTAATCGAGATAGATATAGACAAATGCATACATAAATGATCAGAATGAAAAAAGAAATCGATTAAGCTGTGACACTGTCTGTCCGTCGATCCGTCTGTGCACACGATAACTCGCCTAATCGATTTTGGCCGAGTTCAAAAAAGCACGCCTGTCGTTTATCTTCTATGCTAACTGATGCCAATTGGAAATGCCAAGTGAAGCCAAGTCCTTCTCCACCTGATCTTTCCATCGCAGTTGGGGCCTCGCTCTCCCTCTGCTACCACCTGCGGGCTCCGAGTTGGATAGTTTCAGAGTTGTAGCGCCGGTGTCCATTCGAACGACATGACCTAGCCAGTGGAGCCGCTGTATTTTAATACGCTGCACTACGTCTACGCCGTTGTAAAGCTCAAACAGCTCATCGTTCCATCGTCTGCGGTACTCGCTGTCGCCAATGCGTAAAGGCCCGTAAATCTTCTTGTGGATTGGGCAGAGCACACTTAAATTCCAGGCGTCGGTCATGCGTTCATCGGATCATATTCTGCGCAAGAGCTTATGCATGCACCTTATCTACTCCTCGCGACCGTACTTGAATAGCTCAGCTGGCAGGCTGTCAACTCCAACAACTTTGTTGTTTTTAAAGCGCGCTATTGCTATTTGTACCTTGTCATAGTCAGATGGTGGAACAGCGACTCCGTCATCATCGACTGTGGGCTCGGATTCATCTTATCCACAGCTTTCAGTGCTGTTACCATTCAGTAGAGTGGAAATGCGTTCCCTCCGTAATTTAAGTACGTGATGGACATCAGTTACTAGGTCGCCATTGTTGTTCTTACAAGAGTTCGCAATGGTCTTAAAACCTTGCATAAGACGCGTAACTCTCTGGTAAAATTTTTGGGCGTTTTTCCTGTCGCCTAGCATCTCAAGCTATTAGCACTCACGTATTTCGGCCTCTCTCCTCTTATTGCGGCAAATACATCTCGCTTCCTTCTTCAGTTCCCTATAACGGTCCCACATGGCTCGCGTTGCGCTCGATCGCCCTATACGCGGTATCTTTTTATCTATGCAGCTTCCTGACACTCCTCATCGTACCAGTTGCTCTTTCGGACTCGCTGAAATCCGACTACTTCTTCGGCGGCCTTACTTAATGAGCGCGAAATGTGGTCCCACTGCTCGCATATTTCGGCTTATTGAAAAGTTATCTCTGAGGGTAAAAGTAAGAGTCGAGTGACGAATGCATTGACCGTCTGTTGTGATTGCTGCTTTTCGACGTTAAGCTTTCCTTGCATTTTTGGGCGCACATTTTTTGCTGCACGGAGGCGGGTGCGTATCTTGGCTGCAACGAGATAGTGGTCCGAGTCGCTGTTTGGGCTTCGGAGTGTACGTACGTCCAAAATACTGAAAGCGTGCCTTCCTTTTATTACAACGTGATCGATTTGGTTTCTCGTTTTCTGATCTGGAGACAACAACGTACCTTGATGGATCTTTTTATGCTTGAACCTAGTACTGCATGCTACCATGTTTCGGGCCCCGGCGAGGTCGATCAGCCTCATTCCGTTGTCGGACGATTCGTCGTGGAGGCTGAATTTTCCGACGGCGATTCCAAATATCCCTTCTTTTCTCACCCTGGCATTAAAGTCGCCAAGCTCGATTTTGGTATCATGGCGGGGCAGCGCTCGTATGTGCGCTCCAAGCGCTCATAGAAAAGATCCTTGGACCCCTCGTCCTTCTCTTTCGTCGGGGCGGATTGTAGCTAGAGGCTCGTTCGCCGGGGTGAACGACAGTACTCGGCGACGGAGTCTCTCTCCCATCACAAATCCAACACCGAATTTGCGCTGTTTTAAATGGCAGCTGCAGTAGACGTCGCCAGTTCCTAGACACTTTTGCTTGTCTATGAAGCCGTATTTTTATGCAAAATATAGAGCCTAGAAATAAGTAGCACATAGCTATAAGCAAAGTTTATACATTTTTGTATACATTTTGTTTACTCAATATTTTGCAAACTCAGCAAAGTATAAAGTGCAGCCTTTGTACCTATTTCAGCAGCAAGCTCGGCGGACGCTAATGGCTGCGTGATGATTTTTTTAGTGAAAGGCATAGTACACTTGATGTTTGGGCAGCAAGCCGCCCGGTTTTCTTTCACTCCAACACGTTCGTAATTCTACGTGTTTGGTGTTCCACCAGGTTTGCTAGGAACCATTAAAAGAACTTCAAAATTTAGCAAAGCATTTATATGTAATATGGACATAACAATAGCAAAATTAAATTATTTTGTCCATACATTTCAAAAAAAAAAAAACACGAAGAACGCCAATTACAAGACAGGAAATGCGCTTTTAAATTTTACGCCCTGCGATACGTTACTGAAAAACTAACAGTGCTTGGTGCGCATTTTTCAAAAATTCAATTTCGTCATTCTACAGCAAAGAAAATTTTATCTACGTTATTTAACTATACATATTTAATTTTCTATTGTCAAGTTTACATAGTCAACATATTTGAAAAAAGAACTATTAAATGACTAATTATCTACTTGTCATTGCAGTCTTTGCTCACACACGTTTCACGGCCAACCAAGAACACACTGAACAAATTGGGCGTCTTCACTGTATCCTCATTTCATGCATTCATTTGTGCTCGTTCACCATCGTTGCTGAATAACTTATTGGCCGGTCGTGGTGCCACTAAACGTCGACCTCCGATGCTCTCCCGTTCGAATAGCGGCTCAAGTCGACGATCCATGCAGGTAAGTGAATTTGATTGCGGTATGAAAAATACTGATTCTAGAGAGTAATATAATTTTTGTAACTATGTATGCGTTATTTAAGAGTAAGAAAAAATGCTGCCTTTATTAAAAGGAGTAGTTTGCAGCATCCACACCCGATCGAATATCGATTCATGAATATCTATGAAATATGCATTCTTATGCCTTACTTCTATTTCTGTGTATTTCTAGTTAGTTATGTTATATATATATTTTTTTTATAGAGGAAATGCATAAGAAAGAAAAAAGATGTACACTTAAAAAGCATTTTTACTTTTTCTTTAAAAACAAATACTATATATATATTTGAAGTGTACTATATTTTTTCAGACTTTTTTGAAAAAGTACTATAAATTTCTTAAAAAACATTGGCAACCCTATGTATGAGAAATGAAATATAAACCCGCTCTAAGTCTACGACTTTCAAAAAATACGGAACTTGTTACTTGAAAGCGGCGGTGATGGCTTAAAAAATTTATCTGGTTGCTGTGTAGATTTAACTTTCTTTTATATTTTTAGCTAGCTCGGAATACGGTTATTTCACGTCATGTAAACCCCCAACTTCCCGAACTCCAACTGTCGATGGGACCGAAAATGCCAATCTCCTTTTTTATCTAAATGCACTTTAAATAATTCATTAATACTTTAAACAAAGCTTTTAATATAAAATTCGTATTACATAATATTTAATTGTGAGATTTTTACATTGCAAATGTATATTTAAGAGCACAATCGTCCAAATTAATAGCCCATTTGAAGCATAATTTGATGCATTGTCGGCAGTGCCATCACGCGATGGAATTGTTTCATAAAAATCCCCATCATATGGCTGGGCCCGGATCAGCGCTGATGGCCAAAGTGTTGCACTAAATCTGCAATCTGTGAAGGGAAAAGTATTTCAGCTGGCGTAAAATTTGGCAGAACGATGATTTAACTGTTCAGCTGGAACAGTGTTGGAAAACATTCTATGCTTTTATATTCAAATGATTTTTTACATTTTGACTAGAGCGCGAGCCTAATTTTTCCGACACGGCCTAGAACGAGTGCAAAAATCAAATTCTAAAAACCGCAAGAACTTCACAGGGGAAAAATCCGCTATGCCCGGCCCAGTCCAATAGGATTCGGCACGAAATTTTAAAAATAAATTCTATTCTTACAATACTTCTATCTGAAATTGTTTCAAATTTACATATTTAATGAAACGAAAAAAATTAGCCTTATGTATTATTCTTTACAAAAGTAAAATTCGTTCAACAGACTTTGAAGTTTTATATTTTTTCAAAACCAAAAGATTGCTTAAGTATTTCACCAGATAAATAAAATACATGTGCTCACTCCTTGCTAGGGTTGCCACATTTTGAAACGGAGAAAGAAGTACATTTATATTTTCGATAGAAAAAAAGCAGTACATGACATATAAAGGGAGTACAATTTTTTTTTTTAATTTTTTGTGCAATTTATTGTTACAAATTACCATTAATTAGGTACAAACAAACAAAGATATCTTAGAAATCTTTTTCAAAGCAACAATAAATATGAAAAATAAATAACTATATGGGTTGGCTTTCCAATAGAGAAGATTGTTAAAGAGACCGCCATTGACAAAAATGTTACTCCCGACCACCTAGGGCCCCTACGGGACCCCTTAGAAAAATTGCCAAAAGTCACAATTTTCACTTGCGTCCACAGTATTTTTGCGTAGAATTCGGTTCTCAATGACCGCCCTTATAGGAAAGTTTCCCCAACTAAAAAACTAAAAACTACAAAAGAATTATCTCTTCCTGAATGTATGACCATTTTTTTAATTTAAGCCTTATAATTAATTTAATATTTTTCTGATTTTTATACCCGAGCGCCCTGCACCTAAGGCCATGCTTACACCTTTTCACTATCACACTTAACTTTGCTTACTAAGTAGTGTTTGCCACAATATGAATGGCAACGTCCAGCGCGTAAAATAATAACTGCCGCACAGGTTTTTTGAAAAATAAAAGGGTTCTTTATAGATTTTGTGTTTTTTTTTGTTAACTTTGTAAATATTTTACTTTAATTTTATTAATTGGTTTTAAAATTTTAATCCTGATTTGCATTTGCCAGCTTTGGGAGATAAGTACATGCGGCACGAACCTCTTTTTCAGGTTATTTTTTCTTAGATTTTGTATAAAAAATGAAAAAAAAAACCTGTATAGGGTTGGTCGAATGAATGCCCTCCTAGTCACCAGTTTCGAGTCTTTTCGATTGCTGAGTACGAGGCCTTACGTTGGACAAAATGAAGGTTAAAATTTAAAAACAAATTAATAAAATTGAAGTAAAATCCGTGGATAATTAACAATAAACTACTTTTTCGTAAAATCTATAAAGACCCCTTTTATTTTTCAAAAAAAAAACTGTGCAACAGATATTAATTTACACCCTGTATATGATAAAATATTAATAGCTGGAAAAAGGAGTACAAAAGAAGTACGAAACTAAAAAAGGAGTACATTTGCAGATATTTTTTTTTTTAGTACAAGGGAGTACATTGCAATAAAAAGGAGTACGTTTACTCCAAAAAGCAGTACGTCTGGCAACCCTACTCCTTGCAGAGGTTACAACAAAGCAGGGATGTAAAATGTTACCACCCCAAAAAATGGTTCGGTTCGGTTCGGTTCAAAATCCACTAAAACAATTTTCAAGTTTTGTAATACACAACTTTGTCTAAAAATGCAACCCTATGGTTATACTGCAAACATTTTTGAGTTTAATTCATAAATGTTAGTAAACAAGAATTCAGCTAAAATTACATTTATGGTAACTTAGACGACATATTACAATAAAACTAACATAACCCAAAAATTGATAAATTTATTTTTAGAAATATAAATGCAAGTATGTGCATATTTATTCTCCTTACAAAAGTGATAAAATAAATATAAGGGAGTATTGCGAAAACTGGTGTAATTAAAAGGCACAAAATATGCTTCATGAAATATGCAACTAAACGAGAACGAAAGATTGTTCAATCACAGAAAAAAGAAAATTTTTAGCTGGGGCTTTGATATGAAAATATTCTAATAGGAAACAATTAGATAAGGTTTATAACAAAACCCCAATTATTTTACTTCTTGGAAAAATGATCGAAGTGTTGGAATTTCTTCCCTTAACTTAACAGCCAATTCATTATATAATTGTGTAATAAGCAAATTCTATATCACCAGAGTTAAAAAATATAAAATTCAATTAATTAAATTTTCTTAACGCATACAATGCAACTCAAACAAGTGCCCACGTGTTGATTTTTTTTTTAATACAGTCGTGTCTCTATATAGCGAACACCTCGATATAGTGAACACCGAAATATTTACACAGAGTACTCTAAATAGTGAATAATCGAAAGCCTCCAAATAGTGAACAAAATTTTGAAAGCAACGGCAAGCATAAATTGACAAAAAAAATACCAAATTTAACCGGAAATGAAAGCGGTTATTCCCTGAAATTTACCACTTTATGTTTATTACTAGAAAAGCTGCTACTATTTGATGCTAATGTTTATTTGGTTCTTGTCGAGTTCCAACCGCTTGTGAGTGAATGTGCGCTGTTTTATGTGGTTTTTTAGTTTTTGTATGCTAATAAATTTAGCATTTAAATAATTTTTAAGTGTTATCATGTCTGCGAGGAAATTCCCTTCGTTGGAGCAAAAATCTGAAATTGTTGAAAAAATCGGAAATTTATGGTGTAACTGCAGACATCTTCATAGAATGGTTTCACCATTGCTTCGTCCCTCACGTACATGAGTAATACATTTAAAATTCCTAACAGTTTTACCGAGTATTTTTTCGTTTTTATTTGTTATTAGGTTCAAAATTCTTAGCTACAAAAGGGTTTACCAACTAAAACTATCCTATTGCTTGATAACGCCCCTAGCCATCCGCCAGAAGATGAACTTAAAACTGCTGATGGCTCAATATTCGGGATTTATATGCCTCCAAATTTAACGCCTTTTATTCATCCTGTGGATCAAAATGTGATTCGCTTAACTAAGCTGTACTACAAAAAAAAAACATCTGCTGTTATTAGCTGTAGAAAAAGATGACATCACACAATTTTTAAAAACTTTAACTTTTAAAGATGCTGTATCATTTTTAATGCTTGCTTGGAATCAGCTGAAGGCAAGTGTAACACCGAAATGTTGGAAGCCTTTATGAGAATGTTTCAATGCCACAGAGCCAAATGAAAGTGAGGATGAAGATGATACTTCGCCAAAAAATTATTGCAGAGTCTGCTGCAAGTTGTAATACCGGAGGAAATTTTATTGACCCTATTGACATTCACCTGTCCATTTCGTTTTTATGTACTTTAATTATTTTAGGAAACCTACACTGAAAGTGATATCTAAAATTAAAATACAATCGAAGACGACGAACCAATTGATTAAGAGAAAGATGCCGAGGATACTGCAGAAGCTGGGGATGATGACCAAGGCGAAGGACAGATCGGAAATCCTATAAAAGCCACTGAAACTATTAAAAACCGACTATGCTGGAATAATAGTATTGAGAACTCGTGAAAAAGCCCAAAAGGTCCAAAAGTCAATTTTCTCCTGCAGGAAGCAAACATCTATTCGCGAATTCTTTCAATAAACATTCATATATCCATTTATATCTTCCTAAGTGTACATTTATTCCAAAGATCTGTTGCACTTACATACACAAACATGAATTTTGAGCAAATAAAACAAGATTTTGAACAAAATAAGTCAACCTTAATATAGTGAACAACCTGGATGCTGTGAACAGGCCATGCAAAAATTAGTTCACTATATCCAGACACGACTGTATTTACAAAGTTTTTTAAGTCAAATTTTTTTTGTTATTTTTCTACAAAAATATTGTCCAATCTGTGGCCAAAACGATCGAATCGAAGTCTCAAATTGTATACAAAATTTATTAAAACTTAAAAAATTTCATACAAATTTCGAGCTTTTTTCTGAACCTAAAGAAAAA